CTATCTATCTATCTATCTATCTATCTATCTATCTATCTATCTATCTACCCTGTTTCTCCAACAATATGGCCTCCCCCAATAGGAAGTCCCAGCATGTTTTATAGGCATGAAATGAAATTAAGCCCCTCCCCCCCAAATTAAGCCCTATATTAAAACATACGAAATGGGGGGGGGGAATGGTGGGGGGGCTTGCCGTTAGGAAGTTCTTTTGTTGCACACCCGGATATGGTGCTGCCTTCGTTGACCCCAATACGAAGTACCCCACCAACGCCGAGGTCAACATCCAAGCCATCGCCGCCCGCCCGCCCGAAGATGCAAGGGGGGGGGAATTAAGTCACCCCCGAAAAGACGGCCTAGCCATTTTTTCAGGGCTCAAAAAAAAATAAGACCCGGCCTTATTATATGAGAAACACGGTATCTATCTATCTATCTATCTATCTATCTATCTATCTATCTATCTATCTATCTATCTATCTATCTATCTATCTATCTATCTATCTATCTATCTATCTAATTTATATGGCCACTCATCTTGCAAAATAAGTGACTCTGGGTGGCTATGTTAACACAAAACATAGACACCCTCCTACCCATTCAGACAAAGACACATAGATCAAACTATATATGGCTTAATGAGGATATGGCTTAATTGGTTGTGTTTAATTTCATTTCTTTCTTTGTTCATGGAATAAGTTGCTCCTTGTTTTTCTGCTAGTGGGATCTACAACATCGTTTTTTGTTTTTGTTTTTAATCTTACAGGATTCTTGAAAAGCCGTGATCGTTCACATCAAAAGTTTTATACTATGATGACTAAGACCCAGATGTTCATTCGCTTCATTGAAGAATGCTCTTTTGTTAGTGATAAAGATGCAAGCCTCGCTTTTTTTGATGACTGTGTAAATAAAGTAAGTGTTTTGCGAGTCACGATATCGGACCATATCTGACTATACTTGTTGCTCCAAAGACTCACTACAATATAAAGGGACTCCCACCTCTGACTGGCTGCAGTTGCCAAAGTGTCTAGCAAGAAAAGCATATTGATTAAAGAAGAAATGACGTAATTTACACACACACCCTTTTCTTCTATTCGTTAATTGGTTTTGAAAAGTATGACTGTTTCTTACTTTCACTGAGCTAGCAGGGAGGAGATGTCCATACTAGCTTCTAGAGAGTTCTTGACCTTTTCCTTTTGTTCTCCCCCACTTCAGTGAATTACCTGGCTGGTCTCACCTTGGCAACTTGAAGCCTGAATTCTGGGAGTTGAAGTCTACTTTGTCACCAGGCTTCAAGTTGCTGAGGTTGGAGACCCCTGGTCTAGGAGAGGACATTCCTCATCTTACCCAATCTGGGCATGTCTGCTTGGGATACAGGGAGATATTACCCAAATATCTGGAGGACAACGGACAGAGAAAGGTTGCCTTGAAGCATGATGCAAGGGAATACAAGACTCTCTTGAACTCAGAGCAGCCTAGAAGATTGGGTTGGGTAACAGAAAGATTATTAGCTCCTACTTGTAAAGTCTTCAGTGAAAGAAACAGAACATTATTCTTCTTGTGCCATATCCATCATCATCGGGTGTTGGCGATTATGTTGGCGATCCTATTTTTATCAACAGCCGTATGAAAAAAGTGCTGTTGAATTTTGTCCAGAGCAGTTCCTTAGATTTTTGAAGCCATGATGTTCTTGTTTTGCCTGGACTTCATTTGCCTTCAATCTTTCCCTGGAGGAATAGAACATAAAATATCAGAATTGGAAGAGACATTGAAGGTCTTCTAGTCCAGCCCCGTGCTCAAGCTATCTCATTTCAGACAGGTGGCTGTCCAGTCTCTTCTTAAAAACCTCCACTGATAAAAGAGTACCCACAACTTCTAGATCAGGGTTCTTCAAACTCAACATCTTTAAGACTTGTGGACTTCAACTCCCAGAATTCCTCTTCCAGTCATGTTAGCTCAGGAATTCTGGGAGTTGAAGCACACAAGTCTTAAACTTTCCAAGTTTGAAGTTGAATTGACCCTTGTTCTAGAGTCAAGCTGTTTCCACTGATTGATTGTTCTCACTGTCAGGAAATTTCTCCTTAGTTCTAAGTTGGATTTCTCTTTAATTAGCTTCCATCCATTGTTCTTGTCTTGCCTTTGGATGCTTTGTAACATGGGTTGACTTCCTCTTCTTTGTCACAGCCTTGCAAATACTGCTATCATACCATACCTTTTCGCTAAACTAGCTATGCTCAATTCCTAACTCTGATTTATGCTTTTGTTGAAAGTGGTGCTTACTTCTGGATTTCGGAAAGAACACCTCACAGCAAAAATGGGTTTGCTTAATAACCATGGTGTTCACTTAACAACCATGGGTTCACTTAATGACCATGGCGATATGCTTAACCATAGCAACGCAAAATGCCAGAGCTGTTATAATCCTGCATCATTACAGGACATCATACTTTAATTTATGATGATGTCACTTAGTAACAGAGTTGCTGGTCCCTGTTACCGTTATTAACCAAGCCTTACATTCGCATAAGGAACCCATTTTATCCCTTACAGCCCTGGCTTCAATCATTTGAGGCTCTGATATCCTGCACAAACCCTGGTTGCTCTTCCAATAGCAAGAGCTAGAGCACTTAGACTTATATACCACTTCCCAACGTTTTACACCTCTCTCTAAGCAGTTCACAGGGTCAGCATTTTGCCCCCAACAATCTGGGTCCTCGTTCTATCAACCTTGGAAGGATGGAAGGCTGAGTCAACCTTGAGCCGGACAGGATCAAACTCCTGGCAGTAGGCAGAGTTAGCCCGCAATACTGCATTCTAACCACTGCGTAACCATGGCCAGAGAAGAGAAGAGAACAGAATAGACTAGCACTTAGACTTATATACTGCTTCATAGTGATTTACAGCCATCTCTAAACAGTTTGTAGTCAGCCGATGACCCCCAACAATCTGGGTCCTCATTCTACCGACCTCGGAAGGATAGAAAGCTGAGTCAACCTTGAGCCGGTGAGATTCAAACTGTCAAACTGCTGGCAGTCGGCAATCAGAATTAGCCTGCAATACTGCATTTTAACCACTGCGCCACCACGGTTCTTGATAGAGGAGATTTGCACATTGTACTTGTCAAAATATTTCTTTGTCTTGATCTATCCAAGGCATGCTTGTGTTCGTATTGCATCTGAAGTTTGTGTGCATATTTAGATCTAAAGTGTCATCTTGATAACATTTCTTGTGAAATGGCTTTTTCAGAGATTCTTTAGATCAAACTTTCTATGGCACAGATTTTCTGACAAGATGTTAAATTTAGTGAGATGTTACGCGTTAACCTTCCTCTGCAATTTGATTCTTTCCTTTCTTACTCTCATGAGCGATCCAGATAATCCTTGTGTAGCAACAATTGGGATGGGCAACTCGATTGTTAAGTGAAGCAGCCATTAAGTGAAACCATCACTGTGCTGCTTCAGCTTTCCTTTGCCTTCTGGGACTTGTGAAGGTTGTAGATGCAAGGTTTGGTCACAAAGTTGCTTTTTCATCACTGTTGAAGTAACTGCAAATGGTCACTAAATGAGGTAGTCACTAAACAAGGATTAAATAAGGATCATTTCTAGACTCTAATGCCAGTAGGCTTAGAAGGAAGGATTTTGTCTAAGGAAACTTACGCCAAAGTATTAACTTTAAAATATTACTTATTTTATTTAGCCTCCAGCTTCTTTAAAGTATAAATTGAAAAGATAAAGTATCGTCCTAAACATCAGCAAAACTTCACTATTGTTGTTTTGCTTCAACACATTATATGTCACTCTGAGAGGGAGAAATTTCATATGTGTGTGTATTATCATAATTGCTCTCCGTTTGGTAGACAGAAAAAAACTTATGTTTTTCTTCCTTTCCCTCCAGGAAAAGAGTGATAGAATAGATCTGGCTAGAGTCCCTCAAGCATAACCTAGGAACAGAAAGTGACTGGGGATTAGTTGGTGCGTGTTGCATATAAAGTGAGCTTGCCATAGAAAATAAGCTTTGGAAATCATCCTTCAAAGATTGCGTTAGCCTAGCAAATAAGTAACACAGCATTACTCTCCTGCCAGGATCACAACCTGTTAGACGTGTTGCCTTCAACTGTCTTTATGGAAGGCGAGATTCTATTTCATCTGTCACCAACCATGGAGCAATCAATCAGAATAGAGCTGGAAGGGACCTTGGAGGTCTTCTAGTCCAACCCCATGCTCAAGCAAGAGACCTTGTACCATTTCAGACAAGTGCCTTTCCAGTCTTTTCCTAAAAGCTTCCAGTGATGAAGCATCTACAACTTCTGAAGACAAGCAGTTCCACTGGTTAATTGTTCTAACTGTTAGGAAGTTTCTCCTTAGTTTTAGGTTGGTTCTCTCCTTGATTTGTTTCCATCCATTCTTGTCTTGTCTTCTGGTGCTTTGGAAAATAGGTTGACTCCCTGTTCTTTGTGGCTCTCAAATACTGGAAGAGTGCTATCATGTCACCCCTAGCCCTTCTCTTCATTAGACTATTCCCAGTTCCTGCAACCATTCTTCATATATGTTTGTCTCCAGACCTTTAATCATTTTAATTGCTCTTCTTTGCATTTTTTGTGTAATTGCTCTTCTTTGCATTTTGCCCAAAGTCTCAACATCTTTTTTTTTTTTTTGTAATGTGGTGAGCAAAACTGGATCATGTGGCTTGCTATGTCTCGTGATGTTACCTAAATCCCTTCACTTGACGAGAGTTATCTTTCGGATAAAGAACTTCAGCAAACAGTACGTGGAGTCAAATAGCCACTTCCTGCCCAGGATGACAAAGGATTCTCTTTATTTACCACCTCTCTGTTCCAAGAATAGATTAACTTCATGATAAATTATCAAAACATTTCTTTGGATGGCATTATCTAGGCCAAAGGTCTTCAAACTTGGCAAGTTTAAGACTTGTGGACTTCAACTCCCAGAATACCTGAGCTAACATGACCGGAAGAGGAATTCCAGGAATTGAAGTCCACAAGTCTTAAAGCTGTCCAGTTTGAAGACCCCAATCTAGACCATTGAGGTCAATCTCTTCTTCAATGTAGAGTCCAGATCTTTTTTTTAATTCCCCATCAAGGGTATTACCTACCAGAACGTCTATTCTTTGGATGGGAAGGTTAACCAACTTTAGGACAATTCGATTTTTCTTCTATTATATTATTTTGGTTTCCCAGTTTTTCTTTTCTTTTTTTTGTGATCTTGACCCAAAGACCATTTTTGTTCAAGTATTAATACTTTGGGAACTTTTGATCGATGTGGTATTTCCACTGAGCGTTGAAAAATAAGAAGAAATAGAATAATGAAGTGTGAGATGCTATAGCTTCAGTATAGCTTGCATTCATAATGTGTTTATATAACGAGGTTTATTCTCAGCGCCATTTTGTTTCAGACAGATTTTGTAATCTGTCCAAGTAATTAACATATTCATTGGCTTGCTCTCAGTCTCATTGAGAGCAAGCCATGAAAATTTCTGTGTGCCTGTGGAAGTCTTTTGAAGACGGCAACGTTTATTTTTGCAAGAATCCCCTTGGGCTAATGGCTGCAAACATGAAAACTACTTATCAGGCACCTGAGAGGAATGAACATAGCAACTATGAAAATTAAGCACATTTCCTGCATGCTATAGAAAAAGGGCCAGCTCCCCCAGGTGCCATTCTATTGATGACAAGTTCTACAGCTGGCAGGAAAACATGTTGACTCAGTGACATAGGATCTGTGGAAAAAAATGCCTTTAAAAAAGTAGCACATAGAATTTCTTGTATAATGTTCTTCAACACATCTAAACAAGCTTGTTGATTTAAATTAATACCTACATCCAAAATAAATAGAGTAACTTCACATTGTGTCTGCAAAGAGGCTGAACAATTGCAAAAATATTTGCATGGAAATGGGAACGGGAACAGAACAGAATAGAATAAGAGAGAATAGAATAGAAT